CGACATCCCGACCCCTCGCACTTACGCTGAGGCGACTTCGGGACCCTGGGCCTCGCAGTGGATAGCTGCCATGGAGCAGGAGATGGCATCTTGGAGATCCACCGGCACCTTCGTCGACGCAGTTCCCCCACCTGGGGTGAACGTAGTCGATGGCCGCTGGCTCTTCAAGGTGAAGCGCCCTCCTAGAGAGCCGCCTGTCTTCAAGGCGCACTATGTGGCTAGAGGCTTCAGTCAGCGCGAGGGGGTGGACTTCTTCCAGACTTTCGCTCCGACCCCGAAGATGACTACTCTTCGGGTTCTGTTACACCTAGCTGCTCAGCGTGACTACGAGCTTCACTCCCTCGACTTCTCTACTGCCTTCCTTTAGGGCAGCCTACACGAGCAGGTCTACCTGCGCCGCCCTCCGGGCTTTACTGGCACCTTCCCTCCAGGGACCCAGTGGCTCCTGCGGCGCCCCGTCTACGGCCTGCGCCAGGCTCCCCGTGAGTGGCACGACACTCTGCGTGCTACGCTTGCTGACCTGCAGTTCTTTCCGTCTTCTGCAGACCCTTCACTCTTCGTTCGTGCTGGCCAGACTCCGTTCTACATCCTCGTTTACGTCGACGACCTGGTCTTTGCCACAGCAGACAGGGACGCGCTGGCCTCCGTGAAGGCAGAGCTGCTGAAGAGACACACCTGCACTGACCTTGGAGAACTGCGCCGTTACCTTGGCTTGCAGATCTCCAGGGACAGAGCTGCGCGCACCATCACCCTGACTCAGTCACACTTGGTGCGCCAGGTCCTTCAGAGGTTCAGCCTTCAGTTCTCCTCTGCACAGCCCACCCCTCTGCCTGTAGACCACAGGCTCTCCGCTCCAGTGCCTGAGGAGTTGGTAGAGCCCAGCGGCCCCTACGCAGAGCTGGTGGGTTGCCTCATGTACCTGATGACTTGCACTCGCCCAGATCTCGCATACCCTCTCAGCATCCTGGCTCGCTTTGTGCCCACAGGCAGACACCGACCGCAGCACTGGTCTGCCGCTAAGAGGGTTCTGCGTTATCTTGCTAGTACATCAGGCATGGGGTTAGTGCTAGGAGGACGCAGGCCAGCGGTCCTTACTGGGCACACAGACGCTTCGTGGGCAGACGACGCTGAGACACTCCGGTCTACCCAGGGCTACTGCTTCAGCCTTGGCTCAGGTGCCGTCTCGTGGAGAGCTATTCGCTCCTCGTCTGTTGCACAGTCCAGCTGTGAGGCTGAGATCTACGCCGGTGCCATGGCGGCACAGGAGCTCCGCTGGCTGACCTTCTTGCTCACTGACTTAGGTGAGCGACCTAGCTCTGCCCCGGTCCTGTTCGCTGACAACAGGGCCATGATCCTCCTGTGTCAGGAGCCTCGACTCGAGGGCAGAGCGAAGCACATTCAGCTGCGGTACTTCCTCCTGCGTGAGCTACAGCAGCGACGTCAGGCTCGCGTAGTACACTTGGCCTCAGGTGCCAACACGGCTGATATCTTTACGAAGGCGCTTGCGCCTAAAGATCATCAGCGGCACTGTGTACAGCTTGGTCTAGTTCCTGTAGCCTCTCACTTGCTAGGACCTTGACTTTGTACTGTCCTTTATATGTATACTCAGACTGGACTTGTGTCCTCTCCCAGTGGCTGGACTAGTAGTGCCGCCCTGCTCTTGTGCTTGCCTTGTCTGTACTCCTTCTGACCGGTCGTTCAGACTCTTGTCTCAGAGGTTGGACTAGTAGTGCCGCCCTGAGCTGCTTGTTTAGGGTATTCCCCTATGCAGTCTAGGGGGTGTGTCAAACATGTGTATTTGTCATGTTTGTATAGACTGTATAGAGTCACCTCTTAGAGGATACAAAACTTAGATATATTTGTGTGTACTCTCACTTTACCATCATTCAATTATTCTGATACAGGGTTGCTTTCAACACGAGGGGGGAATAAAAAATGGGGGAAAAAAGGGGAGGGAATCAAGTCGAGGGGAGGGGAAGAGCGAAACGGAGGGGAAGGGGGAGGATGGAAACATAGGGGAAGAGAGGAAGCGAAACGGGGAGGGAAAAAGTGGGGGGGGGGGGGGGGGGGGGGGGGGGGGGGGGGGCGTCAAAGTTTGATGGACTTTCAGTTGACCACACGGGCAATAAAAAATCACCTGGAATACACGTCAAAGTTTTGAATGAGACTTTCACATATTTTTTTTTTACTGCATTGGAATGAGAGTAAATTCCGCATTTTAAACATAGGGAAATTATTGCCAGTTGCCCATTTGGTCAACTGAAAGTCTAACAAAATGTAACGGTCACGATCGTTTGCGATCATTTCGACAAATATCAATCGTTCGATGGTAGGTATTGATTAACGTCCAGGATTTCCCAACCGGGGCGCTGCAAGGGCGCGAAATTTCTCCCACCGCCTTATGCCCCAGCTTCCCCCCTTCCTGCCATTTCGATTCCCCCCTTCCCCTCCATTTTCGATTCCCCCCTCCCCTCCGTTTCAATCACTTCCCCCTTCCCCTCCGTTCGCTTCCCCCATCCTCTCTGTTTCGACCCTCCCCCCACGTTCCCCCCCTCTCCCCTCCGTTTCGCTTCCCCCCTCCCCCTCATTTCGATTCCCTCCCCATTTCCCCGTCGGTTTCGATTCCCCCTCCCCTCAGTTTTGATTTCCGTGGCAGTGCGATTTTACCCCCTCGATTTTTAGGAATGGCTTCCCCGTTTCCCAGATTTATCAACGCAAAACAAGGGTTGACAGGGTTGCTGGTAGGGGGGTGGCGAGCCCTGGTTGTGGGAGTGTGGGAGGGGGGATAACTTGTGTACAATAGGACTAAGCCGGTTTTTTTTTGTGCTGTCACTGCCTATCAAGACTTAGCTAATTTTTGTGGGTTGTTGTTAGGTGTGTAGGGGGGATGTCTGTACGACACATGACTTAGCCGATTTTTGTGGGTTACTTGGTGTGTGAGGGAATGCTTGAGGACTTCACCAATTTTTTGTAGGTTGTTGTGTGTGGGGGGGAATGTCTCTGGAGATTGGGGACTTCGACTAAATTTCCGCATTGTGAGCTACATGGATGTCGCACTCAGGGTTCGTACGCGTTACTCCCTGAAAACTCAGTTTTGGGATAACGCAAACCCTGAAATTCTAAGTGTTCACAGACATACAACCCTGAAGAGGTTAGGGTTAAAAAAACCCCAACCCTGAAAATTAAGGGTTGGCAAAAAAAACCCTGTGAAATCAAGGAATCAGGGTAAAATACCCTGATAGCGACAGGCCTGCGTCCAACTGCTTGGACGTTGTCCATGTTTATGTAACAGTGTTGTGTTACGAAGGCTAACTTAGCTAGGAAGGAAGGGCAGACATGAAATGGCGTGAGGGTTTAGGAGCAAGGAGCTAGGAGAGGGAAGTTGACCAGAGAAGAGAGGGAACTAGAAGAAAGGCATACAAGGAGGGAGTTGTACCCTCTACACTAGAGTAGAAGAGCGCGGCGGAAGGGTTAGGAGCAGGCCCACAAGGAACGAACAGCTCTGATTCCATGTTACGAAGGCTAAATTAGCTAGGAAAGAAGGGCGGCCATGAAATGGCGTGAGGGTTTAGGAGCTAGGAGCTAGGAGAGGGAAGTTGACGAGAGAAAAGAGAGGGAACTAGAAGAGAGAGGCATACAAGGAGGGAGTTGTACCTGTTAAAATTGTCTAAGTTATAATTTATATAGGCTTGGTAGGTTGTTACTGAACCTTTCTGTAGAGGGTACAAACCCCTCCTTGTATGCCTCTCTCTTACTACTCCAACCACTCTTTTTCTCTCGACACTTTTCCTACCCTCCTAGCTAAACCCCGCCGCCTCATTCATGGCGGCCTTTACTGCCTTCTAGCCAAGACTAGCTTTTTGACATGGTTTCAGAGCAGGTGACCGTTTACGGACCTGCTCCCCACGCTTCCGCCGCGTACTTGTCTTTCGCCTGTCTTCGTTCCGTGCTGCCGATGGCGGCCTTTAGTTTTCCTGCCGACGTGGCGGCCTTGCCTTTCCGTGCCGCCGTGGCGGCCTCTCCGAGATGCCGCGGTGGCTTAGTCGTGCTACTGTCGCACCTCCGCCTCGCCGCCGCGGCATCGACGTCGCGCTGTGGCGGCGTCTTTTGGCTGCCGTGGCGGCGTTGTCGGGCGACAGCCGGCCACGCATCGTCAGTGGTGCCGCCGGACCTGCCGCCCGCTCTGCAGCCGCCGGCGTGATTCTGGACAACGCCCCGCTCCCCCCCCCCCCTCTTTCCTTCCCCTCCGTTCCCCCTTCCTTGCCACAGTCGACGATTGCCTCGTGATGGCCGTCCCCGTCGCCGAGGAGCCTGGCCATGCCGCCGAGAGGGCGGGGGCCGCTGCAGTAGCCTCTGACGATTGAAGCCGCCGCCGCCGACGCCGCTGTTGCCGCTGGCCTGCTGCCGCCGCACGCCGTCGCCGACCCCGCTCTCGTGACTGCCGCCGCTGCTGCCATAGCCGTCTCCCGGGCCGTGGGACTGGACCAGTCCCGACGGCATCTCAGCTGCTGCTGGGCATGGGTGCTTAGTTAGGGGGTGTGGGGGTGTGTGTGTGGGCTTGACACTACCAAGCCTAGGGGGTGTGTTAAAATTATCTAAGTTATAATTTATATAGGCTTTCAAAACACCAAGTCTGCCAAAGCGAAGGAAACAGATTGGTGGGGGGACAAAGGATTGGGTGAAGGTGAAAGAATGGGTAAATCCAACCATCTACCCTGCACGTACCAGAATGGCAACGAGAAAGCTGCTGAGCTCCACAAGTGGAGGAGCCACAACTGAGCAGCAGGAACAGGCTCAAGGCGAAGATGCAGTGCTGTTCTTGGGTGATGACCAAGAGTCAGATGACGAGGAGCCTGCATACTGCTTTTACGCACCAATACAACCTCCGAGCATGGATCATGCGCTAGCCGGGACTCAACGGGGGAAGTGGCTCGTTTCAAGAGATGCAGAGTACAACAGCCAGATGGAGAATCACACATGGGACCTGGTGTACTTGCCAAATGGGAAGAAGGCAATACAGTGCAAGTGGCTGGCAAAAATCAAGACGGATGAGAAAGGAGAGCCATCAGTTTACAAGAGCAGGCTGGTGGCAAAGGGGTTTCAGCAGAAAGAGGAGGAAGATTACAAAGAAGTGTTTGCCCCAACTGCTAAGTCTCCAACGCTACGTGTGCTGCTGGCGGTAGCTGCTGTGCGCAAATGGAAGGTGAAGCAGATGGACATCATAACCGCTTTTCTGTACGGCATTGTGGAAGAGGAGGTGTACATGGTTCAACCACCTGGCTATGAGGATGGAACCGGTCGTGTCTGCAAACCTAACAAGGCCATCTATGGCTTGAAGCAGGCCCCGAGATGCTGGTACAACAGGCTGGCCAGTGCACTGGAAGGGATTGGATTCCGTGCGAATGCATGCGACGAGAGCCTATTCCTGATGGGAGAGGGGGAGTCACTTGTGCTTCTGCTGGTGTACGTGGATGACATCCTGCTCTTCAGCAGCAGTGACAAGGAGATCGATGGGGTGCAGCGGAAGCTCACAGAGCAGTTCAAGTGCAAGTCACTTGGAGAGGCAAGGTACTACCTGGGAATGCACATTGAGCGGGATACTGAACGTGGCTGGCTCAAACTGCATCAGGGACAGTACATCAATACCTTGGCTGAGAAGTACTCTCTGCAGGAAGAACGGGAAGTGGTCACACCCTTGCCTTCCGAGTTCAAACTCATAAAGGCAGCTGAAGGAGAAGAAGTTGAGAGTGAAGACCAGAGGCAATTCCAATCCATGGTCGGGAGCCTACTCTACGCTGCTGTGCATACTCGGCCTGACATCAGCTTTGCTGTGGGACAGCTGGCTCGAGTAGTGCAAAATCCAACAGAAGAGCAGTGTGGTGCAGCGGAGAGAGTGGTGCGCTACCTCAAGTCATACCCTACAGTGGGAGTACAGTATTCAGCCTTTGCTCAACTCAGTCAAAAAGGAGTTGAAGTCCTCAAAGAGAAGGGGGAGCAGCTCGGAGAAGGAAAGGTGTTCCTTTCCTGTTTTGGTGATGCCACGTGGGCTTCTGAGCATGAGGATTCATCATCAGTTGGTGGATACATCTGCATGGTGGGAGGTGGGCCTGTAAGTTGGAGGTCCAAGAAGCAGTCTGAGACGGCACTATCTTCATTGGAATCTGAGTACATGGCGATGTTTCATGCGGCAAAAGAAATCATCTGGCTAAGGAGGCTCTTGAAGGAGATCGGCCATGAACAAACTTGTGCGACACCTCTGTTCAGTGATAGCAAGAGAGCCATTGCCATGGCACGCAATGCAGTTCTTCATGGGTTGAACAAGCACATGAGGATCAAGTGGCATTGGCTGCGGAAGGAGGTGAAGCTTGGGACACTGGATCCGATCTACGTGAAAACTCAGCAACAGCCAGCCGACTTCCTTACCAAGCGGCTAGCTGAAGAGCCACACTGGCGCTGTGCGAGAATGGCGGGAATGTCCATGAACTAGAGACGGCGAAACAAGCCGACAGTCTGAGGGGGAGTGTGTTGGTGCATATTCATTTGCACGTCATCCTGTCGTCTGTTCGCATCATTTCGTTTGCATGTGTTTTGTGTGCTACGTTGTTTGTATGGTTTGTTGGGTTTGCATGTCTTTGCATGTTCATCTTGTGCTTGTGCAGATGTGCTTGGATTGTGCATGACATCGAGCACATTCCAACGAGCCAAGAATTGTTGGAATCGGAGCACATATGAAGAAGTTACGAAGAAATGTTTGATGGATTTGTTACAACTCATTGGAAGTCCTTGTCAGCTGCTACACCAAAGTTGGAGAGCCCTATAACGAGGAGGGACCAGCATGTGTGGGACTTTTGTCCCCACCTTGCAGCTGCAGCATTTGGGGTTTGGAGGCCAACCTGGCACAGTGTGAATTTTGTCTTGCCAGGCTGGCTGAACCTGAGGATGGGGAGTCAAAACTTTGACTCTTGTCATGTTCTTGACCATGGGCCTCCAGGGTCCTTCCCTTTCATCCTTCCCTTCCTACCCCACCTTCCAACTGTGCTTCAATGCCTTTTCTATCATGCCTCTGATCTTGTAAGCTTCAATTATAGTGACTCTGAGGACTGTCAACTTCTCATAGGGCAGATTACCCCCCAGTGCGCCAAACGCCATAGCTCGCTCGTTAAGCTACGGAATTGAGTGATTCAACTTTCAGTGGAAAGCTGACGCTGCCAGCTACAACATATCCGATTTTCAGATTGTTTCACCAATTGGAGTTTTTGATATAGCTATTCGAAGGTCGCGAGTTTTCTGGGCGTCATAACGAAGTGCTGCAGAAATTTCCAAGGAGCCATTGAATCATCTGCTTATAGCCTTCTCTAACCAACATTTTCTGTGGCCGTTCGCTGTTCGCTACGCCGTTCACCAGCTGAACCTGTGGCCCTGCTTGACAAGGTAGTCGCGAAGAGGATGACGTGCATTATTCATGTCGTATTCAGTGACGTAGCCTCAGAAGGATCATAACCCTTCCCGCCAAGAAGAAGCTCTAGAGTACCATTCTGATGACGACATTGTCCGAGCACATAGCTGTCCCATGTCATGGACTAACACGGGCGACAACGATGGTTGGCATTTGGTGTAGAGCGTGTTTGGTCTTTATAGGGTCTAAGAAGCTGGTATGGAAGGCGTTATGGATCTTCCAAGTGGCTGGTAGGCGGAAGCGGAAGATGACCTATGCTTCAACAAGGATAGACTTGCAGAAGCAAGGTTGAAGCGTGGATGGAATATGGCTGATGTCGAGATTACGGTGTGGATAACTGTAGTGAAGAGTGGCCAAGTGCTTCTGTTGCTGTTGGATTTCCAAGAGGTGTGTCCATTCTTAGAGCTGTTGGAAAAGTGTGTAGAAGTTGTTCAACAATTTGATTGAGCCACACTGTATGTTCTTCGGTCTGTAGATGGTATGAAGATGGCACTGATCATGGTCGAGATGTTGTAGCGGAAGAGTAGATGTACTGTCCTTTCTGTGGGTGCTCTAACTGGCACACAGTAGCATGCGTTGAGTCTCGGGTAGCACATCTTGGCGTTATTTGCATTTCTTCCACGTATGAAGATGACGAAGTGTTGGTGGTATGGCGGTCGTGTCATAGTACTGCTTCTGTAGCAGCGTTGTATCCGATACATGCAGCTTCTGTCGCATGCTTGTCCATGCCTTACTGTTGTTGCGAGTTGTACCCTCTTGGCATCGTAGTGCTGCGGGATGGAGAGCAGAATCACTAGTAGTAACCCTGTCCACCACGCTGTCTGCAAGTTACACTGCCTTGAGTACAACAGCGCATGTGAAGTGCTGCTAAGCGTATCCCTTGTGTTCAAATCCATGCGAGGGGTTGGTACCATAAATGCGGAGCTGGTAACTTCCAGAATCGGTGCCAAAGTAGTTTCCCTCGGTGGTTGCTCAAGCAAGTAACCTCTGCTGCGTAGATATCCCATGGTGATGGTTCAGGACATCTGGGAACATTAGGGCTATGCCCAAATAATCCTCTCCCATTTCCGAATGAGCATTGCTGACAGCCAATCTAGTATGACCTTATGCACTTCCAGATTAGCACGGAGGCCATCAGTAGGCATCGGTGTCTGATGCACATATTGGGATAGGTCTTCTGGTGCCATCATTTGTTGTCTTATTATGTTACTGTTCTTGAAGTAGCGTTGATGTCGATGACGTCTCAGCTATTTAGCATCAGTGTTGAAGTCTGCTCCATTTCGGCAAATAGGGTTGTTGTTGGAGATACGTGGAGTCCACTATCTGGAGTGCTGTCAGTGCTCCATTTTACGCCTATTTGCTTCCATAGAGGTGGTGCTGGTGATGGATTGGTTGTGATGCACGTTTTATGACTTTAAGGAAAGCCATAGGCCATGAGGACTTGTATACCGGTAGAGTACCGTAGTCCTCCCATCCTCAGAAGAGCAAATATCTCCTGCTCTTGAGGGTATATGGCATTTCCATATTGTTCCCTTGCATAGTGGTATCTCTTTCCCACTAGCTAGAAATCATAGTACTGTGCCTGGCTGGGACTTTACGGTCCATTGGAATCCAGCATTATCTCAATTGAGCGAAGAATCATCCATCAGGGTTTGGATATGACTGTAGTGTCGAGTCTTCTGCTGCGGCGGCGGCGGCGGTTGCGACGATGGCGACGGCGGCAGCTGTTGCAGAGAATTCTCTTCACTCGAAATGGTTGAAGGAGAATCCATCAACTCCCTCTTCTTAGTAGAGTGTTCCTAATGGGTGTAACAGGCGTAACTGCTAGGAACAAGTGTTGCTCCATTGCTGCCGGTGATTGTTTCATTTGAGGGTGTGAAGAGTGATTTGCTTCTGTATCCACGGTTAGCAATTCCTTGTATGCTTATCCGCGCCTCCGATGTACGGTCGGTAGAGCGCGTGATTGTATTGTAGTAGTCCGCATCTCCCTCATTTGTTGACACCTCGTGTTGCTTGGCATTCTCCTATGTCGTCGAAGTTATGCTGATGCTTGTAACGCTTCGGCTTCTGGTAGAATCGTCTCCAATGCATGTGTCGTAGGGTCGCTGGTGAACGAGTACTTGCGGGATTCGATGTTAATTACCCCTCAATCTGTGATGAGGTTAATTTTTCGCGGAATGTTTTTCCACGCATGTCATTAACACCTGGAATCGCGATGCATGATTGGTGTGTCGCCTCGTTAGGTTGATGTTGAGGCTGCTCCAATCAATCACTTCAGATGGCTGAGATTCTTGATGACGATGAATTGATCTGCTCCTGTTACGAAGAACTATCTCGCTGGCCTTGTCGAGACGGGTTCACTGCGTCGTAATTGCGTGCGAAATCTGCTCTTTCGCAACAACTTGAACTTGGGAGCATTGCAAGAGAAAACTACTACTTCTCTGCAATCCCATAGCTGGTCGATCAATTTATATAAAGAAGTGTCATGTGGATGGAGAACATATATCTACGAAGCTTCATTGTTTTTCCTATGTGAAGCTCCCCTGTGTTGATGTTGATCCATTTTCAACGAAGTTGACTTCGTCAAAATATGTAGATCGTTATCAACACTAGCCGGAAGATGCGTCGATTGTGCAGTCGTTGGTCACGAATGTTGTCTCCATAATGATGCTTTTCCATAGTGTTGTTTCCGCTGCATTCGTGCCGTTGATTCCGCGCCGATCCGACAATCCACGTTCTCCTGTAAGATTTTTGCCTTAACCTTGTCATTCTCCCTTTGTGCAGATGTTGTGCTCCATCTCGTCCGTTGAAGCAAAAGTCGATCCGACGGTCCGAACTCCAAGCGATCTGAAGATATTCTTGAGTCGCGTTCAGCGGCTTTCGGTATCCAGGTCGACTCGTTTCCTGCAGCAATTCTCGGTTGTCAATTCGGATTGTTGAATGATCGGGCGCTCCAATGAATTTCGTGGCTTGAGAAGTACCGTTCCCATTAGCGCTGAAACTTGAACTCGCTCAGAAGAACTCGTTTCACCTCGGTTGATCCAAAGCGTCGAATCTCCATCGGACAGATGTCGTCGGCCGCAGCTTCGCACATGTCGGCGCAACTCCAAGAGTCTTTGCGAGCTGCGAACATCTTCGAATGTCGCAGGGAGTGTTCCACCAGAACTGACCCATTAACGAGGTCGAGGCCGTTTGCCCCCGCAAAAAAATCGGCTCTGTCGATGCAGTCCATCGAATGGTCGGCGAGGCATCTCGCCTTTGTAGGGGACCCCTGGTGCAACTGCGCGAGGTTAGTCGAAACTAAAATTAAAGTCCATTGTACTTACAGGAATTGAAGTTTCGACTCCATCCTCGGCGTGCTCCTGGGGGCCCAGCGGTTAAGTGTTGATATGAAACCTTGGCTTTGGTTACCAAGTGTTACAGGATCGAATGAGGGTTGCTCAATATTCACTATCCATGAGCACAAGGTGCTTTTATACTTCTAGAGTACATCAGGTAACAGGTTAATCCTATCCAAAGAGAATAGACCCTTCTAGAAATAGAATCACCCTGCATATAGCCACACGAGGCTATAGGCTTTAAGGGATTACGACACGATCACGCTAGATATAGCACGCCATTACATCCCGAGCCTGGTCAGTGATATAATTATAATAACCAAAAAAACCAAAGGATAATGGAAAATGAGAAATAGGAAACCAAAGGAGATTAGATAAAGACCAAATGAATCAGGATAAAAAGAGGAATGAAATAGAAAGGAAATATGGAAAGGGGACATTGTTGTAATGGGATCGTACTCTCACATTGGGGGTGGCACCAGTGTTGGAGAGGGTTCTTGCATTGGGGGTGTTGGCGTGGAGTGTCCAGGAGGTAGTCGTGGAGCAGCAACAGCAGCAGCCGCCACCGGTGTCTGCCCTTCACTGCCTCGCTCTTCCCTGCCCTGACCACCCACCTGCGCCTCCCCTGCATGTCTACGGTCCTGTGTTTCCTCCTCCGGACTCGTCTCTGACTCATTTTCCCATGCGTTCTCCTCCAGGGTCTACTCTTGTGTCTCCTGAC